GAAAAGTTCTGGAGGTAGTGCCAGTCTGTAGGCGGCGGTACTAATTCTGTTTAAGATTTTAAATGGCCCAATAAACTAGGGATTTAATTTTTCCTTCTTGCCAAACCTACTGATTCCCTTGAAAGGAGTGACCTTAAGGAACACCTGATCACTTTTCTCAAATTCCAAATCCCTCCTCCGGGTGTCCGCATAACTCTTCTTCCTGCTTTGAGCTGTTTGAATATTCTTCCTGATCTTAACTATTTTGGCTGTAGTCTCCTCTATGAGATCTAGGTCAAACAGTTTCCTATCACCCACTTCTTCCCAACATATCGGCGATCTACATGAGCGGCCATACAATGCCTTGTACAGAGCCATGTCAATACTTACTTGGTAGCTATTATTGTAGGTAAACTCTATCAGGAGTAGATGGTCATCCCAATGGCCCCCAAAGTCAAGAACACAAGCTCGGAGCATATCCTCAAGTGTGCGAATCATCCTTTCTAACTGTCCATCGGTCTAAGGGTGAAATACAGTACTAAGGAATAGTTTCGTTCTCATGACTTGTTGAAAGCTAGACCAAAACTGAAAAGTGAACCTAGGATCCCTGTCGGACATTACTGTCACTAGCACTCCATGTAATTTGATTATCTCCCGAATATACATTCTTACTAATTTGTGTAAGAGATCGGTCATCATAATGCCAAGAAGTAGGAAAATTTGGTAAACCAGTCAACAATTACTCATATGACATCATGTCCTGAGTGTGCCCTATGCAATCTTGTCACGAAATCCAGGGTGATATGTTTCCACTTTCACTCCGAAATTGGTAATGGCTGAATTAGCCTACCTAGGCATTGATACTCTGCTTTGACCTGCTGACATACCAAACACTTAGAAACAAAGTCAACTACATCTCTTTTCATCCCGTTCTACTAAAATCGAGGTCGCATACTTTGATACATCTTAATACTTTCGGGATGCATGACAAACTTTGAGCTATAGGCCTCTGTCATAATATCCATTTTCAACTCACTGTCACCTGGAACATACACTCTGTCCTGGAATCTGAGCAACCCATTGACAGAGACTTGAAATTCTGAGTTAACTCCCTGTTCTGCATCTTTTTTGAGGGCTGTTAGGGTGGAATCGACAAATTGAACTTCCTTTATTCTCTAAATTAACTCATGTTGAAAAGTCAGGTGGCCCAAATATGTGACTCTCTTTAGGTTCTAAAGTCGTACCTGTTGTGCGGCTCATATTTGCCTACATTCTAAAACCATCAAATGAGCTAATGTACCTACACATTTCCTGTTGAGTGCATTGGCTATCACGTTGTCCTTATCTGAGTGATACAAGATGTCGCAAGCATAATCCTTGAGGAGTTCTATCCACTTTCTCTGACACATGTTGAGATCCTTTTTGAGTGAATATGTGTTTCAAGCTCTTATAATCGGTATAGATCTGAAAGGTCTCCCCATACAAGTAATGGCTCCAAGTTTTCAAGGCGTGGATGATTATGGTAAGTTATAAGTCATGGGTGGGATAGTTTTTCTCATGATTCTTCAACTGTCTGGACCCTAGACTATAACCTTCTCATGCAGCATCAAAACACAACACAACCCAACCCTGGATAGGAGACATCACTGTAAACTGAATATCCACC